GCATTCGCCAAGTTACAGGATAGTTCTAGAAAATAGGTGGCGCCACACCAGTCATGTGACTCGCTGACGCAACAATATATATAAAACTAAAGAAAACATTAAAGCCATATATATTATCAACATCATATTAAGTTTTATATACAATACCATTGGATGTGCAATTGGTTTAGTGTTATTGCTGCTTTTAACAAATAAATTTCAAAGAGAAGTGAAACAAAATCGCGCTATCGCATTATTTTTGTACAGGTCACGAGCAGCAGAAAGCCATTAGAAATTTTTCTTTAGGCCTAATGTGTTGTAATCAAATGGTAAGCTTTTCTGTCTTTCTACTATAATTTTCAGCTTTATAAACTAATTACTTCTGAACTAGTAACTAGCACCATTTCAGATATAATTTTAATTAGTATAATCTGTAATACTTTAAAATTTCCTGTACACAGGTACTTAATTTACTCTACTATCATTTCCATTACCAACTTCTACACAATTTACGTTTAATAATGTACAAATTTGTTAAAGTAGAAGCTAGGCCTATCATCCGTGACTGAATGATTTGTTACCTCATAATACCAAATACTTTAGTCATTACTCAAATTCTGTTAAGATTAAATTTTTCCTTTTATAATACATCCTCAGTTCTGATAAAGAATTCTCTCAACTTATATTTCACTAACTTTAGTCGTAATTGTCAAACGCCAATATTTTTGTTTACTTAATTTATTGTTTTATTCTTTCCAACGCCTTCAATATGCTCAGACGTGCTATACGTAAGATTGCTTATATTTAAATAACTAAAAATATTTCATTACAATTAATGCAAAAAGTACATTTGAATTTTACAAAACCACAATAGATTATAAATATTTATTCGTCTTTTATTTGCCTAATTTATGAATATCTACCAATGGACTAATGCTATGATAAACTACAATTTTACAAATAAATAAGCAAAATGATAGAATAACTGTTTTTTTATTTTACGACTTACTTGTTAGGGGTCGCGCCGTAGGTGGATCTGGGACCCCGATGGGATCGCGTAGGGATTTTATGTCCATCGTAGGTTGAAAAAGGAGGATTATAAGATCCTTCTGGAAACTTTTCATATTCTCCAAACATTCTTTTAATTAGGGATTTATTTTCGTCAATAAAGTTTTCAATTTTTTCACTATAGAAAGAAGTATGTATACATATCATATGTGAACTCAAAAATAAACAAATCTTTCATGTCTATCAAAATTATTTTGGAGGTAGCTTTTCTAATAAAACTTATTGAATTATACTTATGGTAATGATTATTTCTTGAAAACGTGTGTATTTCTGTGTGAAATAATATTTGAAAAAAAATTTCGATTTCATTGAACTGTGTAAAAGTGTTTCAGAAGCTCGTGACTGCGTTAAATTACTTGCTAACACTAGAATTTCTTACTGGACACCAACTAATCTGTTTTTAAACATCCAAATTGCTTCTAGATTTATAACTTTTTAGTCACATAGTTGCTACTAACGTACGAGTTATACAAAAATACAAATGTTGTTATTAATCCTAGTAATAACTGCTAGTATTGTAACACGTAATCACACAAACTTGCTTGTTTTTTTGTTACGCGCAAAGCTACATAATGGGCTATCTGTTCTGTGACCTCCGCGAGAATTGAAACCCGAGTTTTAGCGCTATAATCCCTCAGATATAATGCTGAACTACCGAGGGGGCCCTCAGTGAAGGTGGAAGAACAAGTCGATGATTTAAGACAGCGTTTCCCAAACTATGTTCCGCGGAACACTGGTGTTCCGTGAGAAAATCATGATTTTAAATGTTAATAAAATATTTAACACTTTTTGTACGATCATAACTTATTATGAAGTATTTTCCTATGTATTAGAATTAGATAATATTGATTTTACATTAAAGAAGAATTATAGAAGATGTCATATCTATTCTACATAATATCTTAGTGGAGAGGTTTGTACCTAAAATATATTATAAGCATAAAAATGTAAAAATACATTAATATGTAATGTGATTGAATAAATAAATGAATAATATACAACTCTAGAGGGCGCTGCGCGCACAACATACACTCTACACCGATATTTCAAATGTCTAGTGTTCCGTAAGCTTTTTCTCGGCTGAAAAGTGTTCCGTGGCCAAAAAAGTTTGGGAAACGCTGATTTAAGGGTTAAGAAATGTTGAGGATGTTTGGGCCAATCATATATCAGGGTTAGGTTAACCCTTTATGATTAATTTTCTGTTGCAATAAGACACATTGTTACACCAAATAATAGAATGACACCACTTAAGTTTCGGTTTTAAAATCGAATTGTGAAATACAACAAATGGAAAGGTGCGTCTTGTACTATGCTACACAGTGTTCCAAGACAAGAATATACCCCATTAGTATTCCACGACACGCAGAATGTTTATTGTTTGTTACTGCTTATAATAGTATAGAAATAAAAAGGAAAACAAAAGTTAGATTGTGGTATTCTTTATGACATCTTGTAGTTATATTTTGTCTAATAGCCAGAACACGTACGTATGTAGGTCATACTTTCAAGCAAGGATCTCAAGTAAAATGATTTGATTCCTCCCCCAGACGTCACAAAAGGGACGTGACTGTTCCATTTACAAAGCAGGTTGTGTAACTTCATCGTATATAGATTTTGACCTGCATTGTTTAATTTTTACGGGTTACATACTGTACATCAAGTTGGTACAATAAAACACGTACATTTCAGGAAGGGTAGATGGAGACTTCCATATGTAAATCTACATCTTATGCACTTAAATCTTGCAAGACCAGAATTTTTACTGGTAACATTATCAAGTTCAACAAGATACCGTATTTTTGCTATAAAGGTTCTGAAAGTAAACGTGTCCTTGATAACGTACAAAACAAGTTGAAACTTGTTCGTGCAGCTGTGAGAGTGTTGCAGCTGTGGTATATTTCTTGTCATAAACACTGTGTTAAGTAGCTGACAGATACTTTACATACTAAATATTGTGACACTTGTGCCTATGTTAGAAATATAAATTTCTTTGAATTAATTTAACTATTTTTAGTTCGTTTTATTGAATGTATATTTAGTTTGTTTCTAAGATACTATAAAAGTCAATTGCTCTTACTTACGCTCAAATATATACCCGAGTTTCATTGCAAAACGTGAGCATTTTTAGAAGACGAGTCTTCTTTCATTATTAGCGAAAAAGGAATCTTTTTACTCAATAAAATGCTTTAAAACTTATCGGATTACAAAATTCTTGGTTCATTGGCTTCGATGCTTCTCCATTGAGAGTAGGTTAAGTTAATTCATCCTTTAAATAAGACCGACATTTTTATCTAAATCGTTTAGACTTGATTTTAGTTTTGGTGTGTAAGCCTCTTGTTATATGTTTAGTAAAGAGAAGATAAGCAAAGCGATGAAAGCCAACCAGCTTGGGTCTAGTTAATCTCAGCTGCCATGCACGGAGGGATTAAAGAGTCTCACCTTTCATCTTTCTGTTCTCGTTTAGTCCTGCCTCTTTCATTTCTCTGTGTAGTATTAGCACTAGAGGGACAGCAAAAAGTATGGTACGTTAGTCCTATCAAAGTTCGGAGAGCCATTTAAAGTCTTATCCCTTTATTCAGAGTCTGGTTTATGTTTAAAAAAATTATCATCATGTAATTATTAAAATAAATGAAGCCGATATTAATTAATATCAAGTTTTGCTGAAGAACAAATCGTAAGTTAGTATTTCCCTAATAAACAGTGTCGTATGTTTAACACTGAAACTACCAGGAAGATGTTGTGATTCGTTTTAGAATGTAAGTCCAGTGGACCCAGTACTCAATACAGTAACTCAAGAAAGGGTGAAATTAACACTATTATACATAAATCTATTATTGTATTTATAATCGTAGTTTTTAACTGTCTAGAAGGGGTCATTTTGGACCTAGTTGGTAGTTCCAGAGTTAATATAAAAAATAGATAAGTTTACCACAGGTATCAATTTTTAACTTATAATCGTACAAGTACTATTTACTATAATTAAATTTCGTTTACCTTGTTCTAACATAATTTTAACTTATTTTTATAATGAGGTAACATTTAAATTTTTTAAAGATGTTACTGGTTTCTTTGACTCGAAAACAGTGCACTTTCCCACTGTTTTCATTTCTAAGGGTTTTACATTTTCATTTTTTGTTAATTTATACTTTCATTTAAACATTCTTTTAGAGTTAGTTTAGTTTTAACTAAATAAAATAAAATGTACAGACATTTTTCCACACGTTTGTTTCGTGTCAACTCCACTGCTGGAGTCTTCATCAGGCACAATTTGGTTAGAGAAGGCCTAACTAGAGTGTCGTCACTCTAGAGCAAGCTTAGAAGATTACAAGTGATACGATTTAGTTGATTGGAAAAAAACAACAACATTGATCATTGACTGTATTTAAAGATTAATCTTACATAAACTATAAAATAAATAACTTCTAGAAGTGTGAAGGTTATACTATTACTGTTGTTTTTATCGTTCACCAAATATAAGTGTGGACTATCCTTTGAGCAGGTCATGATGATTTAAAATGAAGAAGATACGAGGGGATGGTTAATATTTTGATTTATCTCGTGAGTTAAGATGTTGTGGTAATGACCTCTTATTCCTGTCCACGATGTTTGTGTTTAAAGTCAAGGATGTAGTTGTTGTTCAGACATTCGGATATCAAGACAAACATGGCATGAATACCTTACCAAATATTGGGGAAACTATTAAGAATGTTTAAAGAAATAAAACACTAATATTGTTTTCAATTCTTTAAAAACAATCATCTGGACAATCTTCATGATTTCCTTCGTTATCTTCAACACCAATACCGAACTCTACAGTTCACTTCTGAAATTGTAATCAACGAGTCTCTAACATTTCTGAACTGAAAATTGGCCAAACAGGATTCAGAGCATCGGTATACAGAAAGAATACATAGGCTAACAAATAATTAAGTTATAGACCAAACCACCCAATTCAACAAAAAAGCATTATAAAAAGGTTAACCATACAATCTTCAATGTCTCTTCAAATTTAAACCCAACAAAATAAATCAAGTTTCTTCAAGAATAATTATGCCAAGAAACAGAAAGATTCGTTCTCAACGTCTTCCAAACTTACCGACAAGGTTAAATACTTACCTTATCGTATGTACCAAACAACGTCTTCCAAACTTACCGACAAGGTTAAATACTTACCTTATCGTATGTACCAAACAACGTCTTCCAGACTTACCGACAAGGTTAAATACTTACCTTATCGTATGTACCAAACAACGTCTTCCAGACTTACCGACAAGGTTAAATATTTACCTTATCGTATGT